GCAGGCACAGCGCTTGGTGAACCTCGAAGTGCAGATTTCGTGGCAGGTGACTATCTCCTTTCCGCTCCTCCTTTTTCCCTGTCTTCTCCTCTCCGTGCTGTCGTTGTGGTCGCCTTGCAACCGTACAAATCATGGAGCTCACAGACACGGACTTGGATCCCCTTGTACCAAGAGGAACACGGGCCATTCTTCAAAAGGCCACGCGCATCACCTACAATGGAAATATGTGCAAGATGGACCCTACGCAAGTCGAGGAAGACTCGATGAGAAACGAGTGGGCCAGGGCCAAGGATATATTTTCAACCTTCTCCAACTCTCACATGAAAAAGCATGTTGAGGCGCCAAGGTTACTGCGGAGAAAACGCAGGTTCCAGTCCTCGAAGATTCCAGGATAGAGGACTTCATCGGGTTCTTTGAGGTGTGTCTGCCAGACACCACGCCCGAGACACCAGGGCTGTGACAAATGGATGCCCTTCACAGAGCCATCGAACGCATCAAGTGCATGGACTGCGTGGATCCACCCAGCTTTGCAGGTGTTCGCACTAACGCCTTGAAGATCCTGCAGCATAAGCCAGGCACATGAAAGTGCTGGCAAACAAGGGCCAAGAGCTGGAGAGCAACTGGCGAGCCAATTTGCCCCAAAGTACCAGATCACTAATCCCTGATGAGCGAGCAGTTGATCACAGGGCAGCAATGTGGAGCCAAGTTCAAAGCCAAGCCACTGCCTACACGGAATTGGCTGAAGGCGAGTGTGCTCAGTCGCAAAGCACGGAAGCCTCGTTGTGCGGCACAGGCAGAAGTCACGTTCCAGTGACTTCCTGTTCAGCCTGCTGGAGGGCCCTCTTCATCTTCGCCTGGCAGAGGGCGAGGAGCTTTTCTTGAACCAGCTCCTCAACACAACCTCCCTGCTCCTTTGGCACACCATCCAGGATCCAGGAGAACAAATCCGATGCGCCGCTTTGATCACTGGGACAGAAGCCCTACGGCCATCTCAACAGATGGTGTTGTTGCAGCTTGTGCTCAGCCAATTGGCAAATCAGCAGAGCCACAATTGTGGTGACACTAGTCACAAGTGCGGGACAGGCAAAGCCCAGAGATCAAGAACATATATTCCGGGGCATCCATCGCGTGGACATGGCTATGGATCCTCATGGTAGCCGTGTGCTCCAAAGCCTCATTGCGTATGTGGGTCAGCAAGCCCGTCTGGACTCAGTGGAAATTTCAAATGGGCAGCTGGGAATCTACAGCATGGGCAATTGGGCAGGATCATGCCGGTACATGTCCGCACCATCCAAGCAAGGCCTTCAAGACCCCTTGCGAGGAACATTTAGCGTGGGTCGACAGCGGCAGAGGCCGGGAGCACCCTCAGGAGAACGCTGGCTTCACTGCCAACTGCATTGGAAGTCGACTGTCAGTTGGCAGCTTTCGCAAAGATGACGATAACAGCAATCTCTGGCAGCGGGTTTAATAAACCCTAACAGCCTAAAGACGTAAACCTTGATTGTTTGCATCCGCGATGAGGTCTCACAGCCAAACGACACCAGCAGCATTTCAACTTAAGGCCAGTGTGCTCTTGGCCGTGTTCATGGACCCTTGGGTGGAATACCACGACGTCATATCCTACGTCAGTGGTTTTGACAGCCATCACTGATGTGAGCTTCTGCGGAGATCGCGTGGTTCCAGGGGATGTGCAGCAGTGCGTTAACATTTTCACGGTCGATTATGGTTCCTGCACTGCGCCAACCTCTGCATATCCAAGACATGCAGGCACTGCACCGGCCTGAGGCAGCACAAGTGTCTGTGGAATGACCTTTTGCCTTAACTTCGCACCCAGGTCTTCGCGCACAAGGTCTATATGGGCAGCTACGCCCACAAATTCAGGCCATGCCATGCCCTTGGCGGAGGAGAATGTGAGGACCATCCAACGCACAAATGCAGGAGCATTTCGTGGCCAGCTTTGCAAATATCGATTGCAATGCATGACAGCGGCAGCTTCAACTTCTGCCAGTACGAACTTGCGCGGGGAAGCATTCCGCGCCCTGGTCACTGAGGCCTTAGAGCGTGGGGAAGACTACAGTGCATGATGCTGCCAAAGAGGGCTGCATTGAGGTGATGCGCAAAATCCTAGGTATGGGCTATGATCCTATGCAGTCACAAGTGGCAAATGAGGATGTCAAACGCATCCTGCACATGGATGTCAGCTACCCTGCTCGCAAGTGCTCCCACCATGGGCACAGCAGGCACAGCACTGATCAGATTGCGGTGAGGTCCAATCGTGGAAGTCCAACGCCAATTTGGACTGCCGATGCAAATTTGGCAGATGGCCGCTTTTATGCCGTGAAAGGCTACAATGCCAGGCACCAACCACAGACAGATCTTCAATTGGTCGCGTCAACGATGACCGAAGGCTGGTGGTGAATGGCTGCTTATCGCGCTGGCAACGCATGCGACACTTTCCGGGCTGTGGTCAAGGCAGCTGAGCTATGGCTATCAGCTTAATGGTGCAATGCTGATGCTCTGTCGCTGCTCAGAAACGCAGGCCATGTGGAACCAATGGACTTGGGATCGCCGCGCATAGTGCGCATTGGAGCAAGCGGACGATTTGGTGTCATAGTCCGTGCAGCCATGGCCTGCTCCAAATGCCAAGTCTCCAATCCAAGGAGGAAGTGGAAGTGGTCAGAAGCAATTCAATCAGCACAGGTTCTGCAGCATGTATCGAGAGAAGGCTCCGAAGGAGGTTTAGTGCCACTGATTCCAGCAGGTTCCACAGCAGGTTCTAGGGTAGGTTCCAGAGCAGGTTCCAGAGCAGTTTCCAGAGCAGGTTCCAAAGCAGGTTCCAGAGCAGGTTCCAGGAGCAGGTTCCAAACCAGCTTCCAGAGAAGGTTCCAGGAGCAAGTTCCAGAGCAGGTTCCAGGAACAAGTTCCAGATACCGTTACACCATTAAAATCTGTGGAGGGCAGCCCAGGGTTAATCCTATTCTGTCTGTATATTGCAGGCGATGGGCGGCTATCGATCATTCATAAAAACACAGCAGGATGACCAAAGCACTAAAAATATGGGTCAATGTCCAAGGACTTAATTCGATTGACCGGGTCGACTGTGCATGCCTAATTCTGGTACGATCCAGTACCAGTTGCATGGGACATCGTGGAACAATGACCGCAAGAAGAAAACACCTCACCATCTGGCCTGGCCTCCTTGGATGTGACCGCAGAGCCAGTCCCGGACAAACAGGAAGGTCACGTCCATCTTGAAGATTTTGCTGTTGAGCTTCCTCTCCACACTCACAAAGGAGAACTCACAGGGTGCCTCATTGATCGTATGAACGGACCCCACAAAAACTCACCCATGGATCACAGGAACACCCTGGCAGTGATTCCTGCCAGTAGGCAGAGAGGTTTTTTCAGGATCATGTTCTCACCTGTGCACCCCCAAGCCAACCCCACAAGAACCACTCGCTCAGAAACCTCCAGCACATGGGAGGAGAAGACAGAAAATCTGTCCCGGTAGCTTGGGGGTAGAGGTACCCGTTCAATGGCGTGAAAAATGCAGCTGGAGTCATTCCGGTCTTCGGCTCCCTTCCGACGGCCCGCCATGTCACATGTCCGATGTGAGTTCAATCAAAGACGACTTGAGTCTACCCGCCCTACAAGTCAAAGACCTCGTGTTCACTGAAGTTGGAATGGGGTAAGCTCAAGTCTCTAGATGTTCACTGAAGTTGGACTGGTGTAAACTCAAGTCTCTAGACTTCACACACCAGGGTGGACCTGGAAACTCACTCGTACCTGGGAGACTCCCAGGTCAGTCACCCATTATGATCGAACAAGCTCTTGGCATTTGAGACATGGTCTCCAACTGGATCCTGTGGTTTAGGTGGTTGGGGTGGAGTGTTTGGGATGACAGCACCCCTTGATCAATCCCTCTTTTGTTTAAGCTTTCTCAGAAGATGGGACCTTCCCATCCACCGCATCCACCGTACCGTCGATGACATCGATCGGGTCCGGAGCGATCGGGTGGCTCGCCGCCGCCCGTCGATCGAGGGCGTCGGACGTCAGGGAGGTCGCCCCAAAAGTGAAGAGAATTCCCTAGCCCTCCAGGTCTGATGGTCTCGTAAAACTAGATTATATATACCCTCCAGGTCAAATCGATGGTCTTGAAAAACTAGATCTAATATAAGTTCAGGCAAAGATCCATGAGATAACAGGGGCACCTGCTGGAAAAAAGGCTCTAGATCCAAGACACTTTGCCCTTCGAAATCATCTTGAGGTATCTCTTCTCCTGAGTTCACAGGCTATAATAGCTCCCCTCTCATCAAAAGGGTCCAAGGGTCTGGGACGTTCTCGAGCTTCGCCAGCTCCTCAACAAACCTCACCGCCCTCCCATCATCCTCCAAGCGGTCTCTGTAGAACACCTGACCAGTTGATGACCTCATATGGTTGATGGTCTCACTTGCTGAGTGTCTTTGGATACTTCAGCAAATTCCAGCCTTCAAGACCTCCAGGATCTTCTCCCTGGGTTTGGAATCGGGCATGGTGCCCACCCAAGCCCACCCACTTTGAGCCCACAACTCGCAGCTGGGCAGGTGATCAAGCAGTGCACCCAGCACACCCAAACCCTCCACGGGTAAACATGCCGTCCCACCTTCTCCTCGAATGCTCCTCAGAGAAGCCCTTCGAAGAGCCAATGACCGCTTCATGGCTCCCACCGGGCCATCCAGTACATGAAAATCTTAATGGTTTATGATGCTTGTCCATCGAGTCTTTGACCACTACATTGATGGCTCTTGGGATTGATGCTAATCCAGCGTAAATCCACGTGAAATGACCTCCTGGAGCCATGGAAAAGACATGAAAAGACCACATTGGTCGGAATGACTCCAAGTACCTAGAAGTCTTTAGAAAGTAAATAGAACTCATGAAATCTGTGTTCTAATGATCTAGTTTTACGAGACCATCGACCTGGAGGGTATATATAATATATATATATATATCACCAAAAAAAATCAATACCCTGCACCGGAGAGGTTTTGGAATGGAAGACTTTCCAAAGAGATTTAAAATCTCGATAAGAGATTTAAAATGCAAAATAATGCAAAAAAATGTTTTAAAATCAACTCAAAAAATCTCAAAAAATCTTGAAAAATCTCGAAAAAGCTCAAAAAATCTCGAAAAATCTCAAAAAATCTCGAAACATCTCAAAAAATCTCGAGGGGATAAAAGGAAAAATCATTTTAACAACTCAAAAAATCTCGAAAAATCTCGAAATATCTCGAAAAATCTCGAAACATGAGAAAATAAGCAAAAATATGCAAAAAGATGCAAAAACATATTTTCACATGCAAACTGGAGCGTGATATGACTGCTGCAGTCAGTTGTGTTCAGCTGTTAGGATAACTTCTCCCCAAGAAACACAATTTGATTAACCATGTTGTGTTTGAGGTGTTTTCCCCAAAAATAGTAACTTTTTTTAAAACAAAAAATAAAAATGAAAAACAATGTGAAAAATGTGGAAAAATGTTTTAACATGTGAAAATATGATCAAAAATGTGGAAAATTGATAAAAACATGTGAAACAATGCAAAAAAGTAAAAAAACATAAAATTTCATGCGACCCTGCTCTGATCTAATCCTTCTCTGATCTAGGTGATTGAATTTTTCTGCATATATATATATATTATAGATATATGATCTGAGAGCCTACATCTGGCCAGCATCTTCTGGCTATACAGATCAACAAAAAGTAATCGGTATCGACCACTATAAGTCATGCGCGCTGTTTGTGTATACCTGAGGTTGTGTGATCCAAAGACCACGTCTGCAACAGGCCCAGCTGATTGACATTCCGAGAGTCCTGCTATACAAAGAATGCATGTTCCTCTTCATATAGAGTCTGCTTTTCAGCCTGTCTGGAGGGAACACCACGCGTCCGTCGTCATGTATGGGTCACGACATGTCGCTGAGGAAACGCGGCTTGAGCTGAGCACGGACCCAGGTGCGACCCAACTTTGACAGTTCGTACCGAAAATGGGACATATGTCGGACATGACCCCCACAAACAAGTACAACTGTCATTTTCGTACGAACAGGTCGACTCATATGTGCTATCTTTTTGGAGGGGCCCTTAGATCGTTTGGACTACTTTCCAGTAGATCGCATGTGGTCACGATACTCTATCTTGTTCCAACTTTTGTCACTGTGGGAGCAAATATAACATGGTGTTATATATGTTTTACATTGCTGAATTGCATTGCCAAGGTATCGTGTTTTTGAGGCAGCCCTGTCGTGATGTTGTGATGTTGGACAAGAAATCCTTCCATGCTGCTGTTGGTCCGGAAACAAACGGCAAATCTGGGCATCTATCGGAGCGGAATGCATGTTGGAAGATCTGCAACGAAGACTTCCCGGCGAGTTCGACTCAGCGAAGACGATCGTGTGAACTCTGGACACTTGAGGTGCACCACACCTCCAAACAGGTTTTGTGGGAAGCAGCGCGCTCGATCAGATCGAGGAGGCGTTGGTAGAAATCAGTTCTCTGGAAGTGCCTCATATCTTGCATGTGGATACTACTCTATCAAGTGCAGGTCTATCTGTGAACTCATCCGTATCTCCAGGTAAAAAATACCTCTATCTGTGGAATGAACGTAGTTAAAAACTGTCCAACATAAACTCTACATGTGGATACTACTCTATCAAGATGACTCCTATATAACTAAAGTTAAGAACTGTCCAACAATTTTCTGTCACTTATCCCGATCAAAATTGAGAGTAAGTGTGAGAAGACTTAGCTGGGACTTAGCTTGATTTGACTTAGGTTGGACTTAGGAAGTCCAATCTACAAAAGAGTTCAGCCTATGCGTAACCTAAATCCAAGCAAAAGTCTACCTTAGCTAAGTCCAAGCAGCTAAGTAAGTACTACTGTACTATGTCTACCTTGGACTTAGACTTAGCTAGCCATCGGCTTAGCTAGAAGTGCTGGGACTTCTGTTCCGGGTCACACCGGATGACCCAAGATGACCACAGGGTGCGTCAGGCACAGCTGTCATGGCACCCACCCGCCCGGAGACCAAAACCGTCTTTTTTGACCGTTTTCACGCTCCGGAGCGGTCGTCTATTCGGTTCATGTTCGGGAAAAGCCAGGGGTCCCCCCAGTGCGATGCCATGAACCAGTGAATCCCTTCCTCGATGAGAATCCCTTCCTCAGGATATATCGGCGTACTCCACCCGGTGAATCTCTTCCACTATATTATTCCACTGGTTTCATGTGGGAGGTAGCTTCATGATGATTCATATAGTGTATACACCCTATTACACCCCATGCATCATGCACTGAATATCATGAAGTTCATGAAGTTTTGGTTTCGCAATGACTGAGGCATTGACATGTGGCGGCAGCAGTGAATTCTTGCCACGTTTGCCGGAGGAAGGTACCTTAGACTTGCAGCAGTCCACAACACACTTTGACCCTGACCTGCCTTTGGTTCACACTTTTTCAGGCAAACCTCAGAATTGCCAGTCCACAACACACTTTGACCCTGACCTGCCTTTGGTTCACACTTTTTCAGGCATAAAACACTTTTTCAGGCATAAAACACTTTTTCAGGCATAAAACCTCAGAATTGCCAGGTCCAAAAACTGAACTCATTTCTCCAAGATACGCCTTAGCCCAGCCCAAAGCCGTGAGAAGAGGCGAAGCCGCCTTCGCCGAAGTCGCACCAGCACTCTCGAACCCACGGCGTGCGGTGATCCATGTGGGTCAGATCTTCCCTGCATTCATTGCTTCGATCCTTCAATCGCTCCTGACGATCAGAGTCGCTTCAGTCGCCCAAAACCTGGGTGCGTCTGGTTGCCCAATCTGGAACCCCCCCCCCTGTCCCATCAAAATGGGTTGCACCACGGGTCACCACGGTTGACCGGTCCGGCAGGTCATTGGGGTCGTGCGGTCTGTCAGAACGGACGTCGAAAGGAAGAAGTCAAAGCGGCCTCTGGACATGCTGCCAGGGAGCCAGAAGCCAAAAGGAACCAAAAACAATCAGGAGTTCCAAGGTGCTCTGGTAGGCCGCCAAAAGACAAAAAGGACAAAGCGAAACCTAGAGGATCTTACCACAAACGTTCACTGTTCACCGGCGGCTCCAGTTAGAAGACCATAGACCAAAGGACGCCCTTGGTTATACATTTATATACCTATAGAACCTGAGTGACCTCTATTTTAGGACCACCAACCACCCCCAAATATGGTCCTTTCCTGTCAAAACAAAGGTCATGTCTGGGCTCTTGGTATGTATCTGTAATTAATACATTTAAGACAGGCAGGCTTGGACCGACTGGGCAGAGTCATACAAAGCCGTGTGCAGCCGTGTGAGAATCACAAAAGCGCGAAAAAGGTCCACCACTGAACCACTTATATAAGAAGCGACCGAAACGTAGGGACCGAAGCCTCCAAGCTTCCAATCGTCGTCGTGTGGGAGGAGTTTCAACGATTCTTCGGTCTACCGGTCTACCGGCCGCGACTGATTCACCAAGTCTGGCCCGGTGATTCTTCACGAACTGCACTCACTCCGTGGTCCGTTCTCACCAAAACCTTCGTCACGTCTCCGTTCTTGGTCGTTCGGTGTCAGTGGGTCCAGGACGTCTCGGATTCACCCCACCTATGACCTGTCGACTGGACTGCGTTCCGATCAATGAGGTCAATGAGGCATTTGTTCATCCTTGCATGGAGCGTCTGGATAAAAAGACAAGGACCTGAAATCACCAAACAAATAATCCGCATGCGTTTTGGACCAACAAATGGAACAAAATCATCCAAATGGACCAAGAACACGTCATTCTCTCATGCGATCTCGGCACCGAGTCGGGGCTTCCCCATGGCACTGCTCCGATGGAACTGGTGGTTCCTGTGTTTGTTCACCGCATCCACTGGCTCTCTGATCACCTATCCAACCACAATCGGGCATCAATCCAATTCCCTGCTCAATCGGCCCATATCCTCAGGTCGTTGGACCCCCGCACTCACCCCCAACAAGCCAACAAGCCGGTTGAAGAACCCTCGGAGTTCGACCGTCTCAGTTCGGTACCGACCGTGTGACGGTACTCCAGATTCAGGTCACGTTCTATCACTGTTGGACCAGTAAATGTGGACAGATTGACTCTTGACTACCATAAACCCACCATAAGAAACGGATTTTTCATGTTTCAATCCAATTGGGGGTTGGTTGATGTACCTATAGAGATCGAGTTTAACACCTCCTCCCCTTCGACTCCTGCCAGCTTCTGACGGATCTGTTTCAACGCCTCTGTGATCCGCTCGGGGAAGCCTATGGACGGACGGACGCTGCGTCTCGCGGTGCTGCGGAGACGGTTCCGTGAAAAGACTGAAGTCTTAACCGCCAACGAGTGTGTACTTGCGCCCTAGGGCTCCAAGTACCTCCTCAGAAGGTGTTTGGACCCTCTAGACTCTAAACCCACCCCAGTCCCACCTTCTTGGAAGGTACGACTGGAGCCCTAGGGGAGATGATGATCATGCTGTGACTGTCATGTCTAGAAACCTGGCTTCAAGTCTTACAAGTCGACTGCCTTGGTGCGTCTCCGTCAAATCCAACACCATCCCAAGCGGTGAACACCGTCCCTCCCAAGCGGCCGCGGGTGTCCCTCCAGGGCCCATGCCCCCTTGAGTTGCGGGAGTGGGGAGTCAGACCCCTCATTTAAGGAGTAGATGGCACAAGTTACCCCAAGTTCATGCCGCCCTCCTTCCAGTGGAGAGGAAACTGAACATGGAGGCAATACGAGCAAATCCTAATTACAGTGGGGTGGTTTAGTCGTGGACCCTCCACCTGTCTAAGACGTCTTGGCGTGCGCCGAACCTCTGAAAGCATGTAGACCTGTCCGACGCTGATTCGACAAAACCGCCCTAGCGTTTCTCTCCGCCTCGGCAGTCGGGATGGTGCTGGAGGGGCAAGGTCTCGAAATGACGGATCGCCAAGCCCACCAAGCCGGTGTAGGTGAGTTTACCTGGAATGGTCGAACGGTGCAGCGAAGTGGTCGAGACGAGTCGAGACGCTGCAGCAGGGTTTGTATAGGGAAATCCCCACAACACATGGGTTTTGCGGTCTGTTCTCTTTTCGAGGGGGTGCCTGGAAGGTCCCCCCACTTTAATGCCCGTCGTTGGCACATAAGACGGATAACGGAACATGGAAACTCCAGTGAGAGGCTGTCTCTACAAGGTGATGGACTAGATGGTTGAGAGATGTGAGAGATCTAATTCCTTGTGGGGTCGGTTCGGTCCAAACTCTCCGAACTATCTGTCTGTGATAGACTTGTTCATGTTCACCTCCAGGGGTCACATGGAGGGCGGTGGGATCCTCCCATCCACCTGTGGCGACAACCTCCATGGCGATCCATGGCGATCAAACACATAGCACCCCTGAAACGATCAGTCGCATTTGTGTATGTTTCAAGAAGATTTTACGTCGACCCAGGCCAGTTCTTCACGCTTGAAATCGATGACGACTCAGCTTCGTCCCCGAAACCGCTTCCCGGCCAAGGCGGTTCCTTCGGTCCTTCGCGCGTCCGGGGGTATCGCTCGGCAGCGATCGAACGCAAACGAAGCGGAGCTCCGCTGGAATGAAATCCATGGATCAGGAATCCGGATCATTCCGGATCCCACTCCAAACCAGCCCTTGATCCCTCAAGACCTCTCAATTCGCGACCTGTCGTTCCAACTTGGGTCACGATCACAGCCATCGCGGTTTTTGCTCTGCAAACGAGAACGCACCCAGCAAACTGCGCCAAAGTCACGGAGGAAGTAGTGGAGTTTCATAAACTCGCGCTTGCTCTGCTCGTTCACGGCACCCTTCGTTCAACACGCTTGCGAAGCCCTTCTTATACACGGTTGAGGTACTAAGCGGAAACAGTCCCCAAAAGGCAGTCGCGGTGTGACAAATCAAGGTTTCACGGAGGGTGTGAACAATCTGTCTGCCACCGGTGCATGGAAAAGGAATGTCTTTCCAGCGGCCTTTCTTGTCTGCATGCGTCATGCGTTGCGGTCACGAGAGGGTGGGTTTGATCGATCACTACCCCAATCCTGTCAGTTGGGGAACCAAACACTTTGAGACTTTGAGTCAGTGACCACCCAGTGACACTAAGTGACTGTGGCGCTGCGGTGCCAAAAAGGGGCAGCAATTCACACGGTTTGTTACAAAAACATACAATCAAACTTATCTTGAGAGATTGTCATTGAGATGTGTACATGTAAGGGAGTAAACATGTTGATATTCATTTGTCCTAACAATGAGCAAACAACACTGATAAAACACCGCGCCTTGACAACCTCCCACTCTCTATATTTTTGGGGTATATCCTATTACCAGGCCCGCCCCGTGGATGATGGTTCATGCCTTGCAGGCCTTTCTCTTCAAAGGAGCTGATGTTCTTGTGAAATCCAACGGCTCGGACGCGGCGCCGAGGACCGCTCCCCCAGTCGCTCATCTCCAGTCTCCAGTCGCCGCCTCGACCATCTGACATCGCTCTTCCCATTCCTTCACCAAGGACAAAAGCTCCGCAGCTTCCTCGCCGTGGAAAGGGTGAAGGGCTGATCCGGTGGAAACGGCCGTGCCGGGTTTGGAAGCGATCCAGGACCGGGTTTGGAAGCGATCCAGGACCGGAACTCTGTCTGTAGTCTCTAATTATATAGGAGTCTCTTTCTCGCTTTCTCTTTCCCTGACTCTTACCCTAGGTATCTTTGGTCTCTAGCCCTGTTCCAGATCCTCAGAAGGTACTTATAAGACCTTCCTGGCAACCCACCCCTCGTCGTATACGTGCGACATGTCGCCCTGGTCGTATATACGGCGTATATACCGTCGTAGACGGAGCGTGCGTCGGAATGCCGGACGTCGCAGGGGCGGAAGCGCCCCGCTTCTGATTTGGATCAGGCAACACTCACTATGTGAAGAGGCACGGTGAGGCGGAGTTGAGATAGATTTCCCCGACGGGTGATCGATTCAGGTGCTGCCATCCACGTGCCATCCTGGCATTTCTTCATTCACATCATTCACATCTCCTCTTCACCTAATCACCCAGAAGTTGGACTTCCCAACATGAGATGTTGCTCGCTCATCTGTTCCAGGTCTAATTCTTCCAACTGGAACTCTCCGGTGTCTTGCTCTCCATCCAGCCACGGACACACAATTTGGCTCGGCTCATCTCCCCAAGCCAAAAACAGGCCTTCTCCGCCCTGAAAATGGAAGAGTCTTCTGAGAAGACTAGCTATATATAGAAGCTACGTATGGTTGGAGGCCATTGCGACGAACGTCACAAGGGAACAAGTCGCTGGGGATTTCGCCATTCGGTCCTTTAGAGGAACTGATCCTTTGAGAGAGCCCATCCAACAACCCACCCCAGGGCCCATATGTAGTCATGTAACAGGTAGTATCGTGATGTATCGCTTTCTCATCCTGGACTGGATAGAATATGAGATTTAAAAAGACGGAACACAAAGTGGTCATGCGTTCATATTTTACTTCAGAAGGGTTCAGAACCATTGACATGAGTACATGGTCCGCCAACTTGCGTCAGGTCTTGTGATGGACACCTTGTACCGGTCAATGTGAGTCTTCTGCGACGGTTCCCGTGTCGCCAGCATGGGCCAGTTACGCGTCCGGGCTTTTTGGAGGAGCATCCCGGATTGAATCCAAACACGTGCTATTTACTACATGCAATCCGCCATACTATATGTGAATAGTATACATTCGGATTGTCAGGGCCTTCTGATAGTCTTGGACTCCCAGAAATTCAATGTTGCCTTTTTGCCGAACTTTGGGGGAAATTCTGCAGACCTTTCAGATCCTCTCAGCAAAACAAACACCTTGATTTCGAACGAACACCGGTGGTGTTCCATCACTTGGTGCGCCCAAAGTCACCACAGGTCACCACTCAAAAAAACACTTGGTCATGTCATCCGCGAAGCCTTTTGGAGGAGTTGAACCTCCAAATAGCGTCCTTTGCGTCGAACCCAAAACGGCGCTTGCGACACGAGCACGAAGCCCGGTCCTCGCTGAAGTGCCCTGCACGTGCTCGATCGTCGAGGAGGGCACCCAAGAGCTTCAGAACGGCGCTCTGCGAGAGCTTCGCGATCCTGGGGTCATCGGAGTCCTCCCAGTGCGACTGTGGCCGTGTTTTCCGATCAGTGGGGTCCACCCTTTTCAATCAAGCGGGGCATATGCCACCAGTGCCACCGTGTCAGAGTTGGAAGTCCCCTCAATTTGTTTCTGAATTTAGTGGACTTGCTGTTGGAAGAGAAAAATTAAAATTTACCTCAGAACCCATAGGCTATCTCGTGCTACATGTATAACTTAAATGTGTACATACATTATAAATGTATAATCATACATGTATTATACATATTACTTCATATTGCACTACACAAGAAAATCACAACACATCCTGACCCGAAAGGGTATTGTCGTCTGCCCTTCTCATGTCATGCAGCTTGTGTGCAGCGTCCCTTTTCCCTTCACCAAGCATCATCATGCGCTGCTTCTTGTCAAGATGAGGAGGCCGATGGGCGTGATCCAAGTGGCAGTAAGGGCAGCCCTCACCTTGTTTTTTTCCAGACCAAACACACAGTCAGCGCCCCTTGAAAACAATCATCCAGATCTGAAAAACCATCCGGTAATCATATTCTACCAAATCACTAGTCGCCGTGAAAAAACAACTGCCGAGTCGACCCAATGGAGCGATGGAGAACCCACGGTGTTGGAACGAACACGAGCCACGCCAGTGCAGGCTGCGCAGGCTGAGGTAATTCTTGATTTATGTTGATGACCAGGGGTCGATCTTTTTTAGACATATACCTGGAGTCGACCTGTGAAAGTACCTTACAGAAAATTGGTATTATACATGTATTATACCTATACGTAGATTTAGTTCAAATCATGTCGCATTTCTTGGGGTTTCGAACTGGTGGTTCCAGGAAAAACAGCTCCACTGGAACATGAAAACCACTGTCATGTTTTTCTGGAGGAAGCATCCGACTTCCTTGCAGGTCCGCTAGTCGCCCGGTTCCATGGTGAATGTCTTGGGATTCTTAGGGTCAGAAATGGTGATTGACTCAGGGCAAACCAAAGGACCCAAAGTCTCCGACTCCGACACTCAAAATGATCAGTAGATGCATATGAACAGTGGATGATATCATATGACATCATGATGGATTAGTATGATATCATATTATATGAAATCAGTGGATGGACAGTGGCCCCCGATTTCGACTGCAATGGCCCCAGCGGCCGTTTTGACAATTTCCCGCGGCAAAGAAGATGCACGGGCGGTTGCAAACCTGTGAATTCAGTGCCATGAAGCTGCTTTTCGTTGATTGCAGATTACGTTTTCTGGTCGGAAGTGGTTGACTGCAGAAGAAAGGCAAAATGTGGAGGTTGAATTGCGCGTTTTTTGATGCAAATCAAGGCGTTTCTGCAAATTCCCATACACGAAAATGAGACAAGAACATGTCAGCTGCTCAACCCAGCGGGTGCAGCAAATGTTGGTCTGTTTTTTGTGAAAGTAGGCGAATCCGTGCAAAGAGCCAAGTAAAAGCAGTGATTCTGGTATCTAAACTCCTGCAATCAGTGTACGCACATTCAGAATGGGAGCTATATGATAATATGTTTAATGTTATGTTATTGAATACATACATTTGTAGCACACCCCCAACAAATAGAGAGTAATTTTTCCTCAATTCTGTTGGATATTGTTTTCATTACCATTTCCAGGCACTTTCAGCAAAACAGCAATGAAACATGTTGAAACTAAATGAAGTTGCGATCCTTAGTGCATGCAGTTCCCAGCTAGGTCGTAGGTTCCAGCTAGGTCCAGGTGAACATAGGCCAGGACATCAAGGCTCCAAATGCTACACGGTACCCAATACCGTTTTCTTTCCTCCTTGCAGTGGTCTGTCACTGAGGCACAACTTGGTTGGTCCCCAATGCAAGAACACCCAGTATACCGCTCCAAAGACCACCAGTATAGAAGCCCAAGAACCTGGTTAGAGCTTGAGAAGAACAAGTAGTTCGCTCTCCAGGGTCAGCAATAATGTATCACATCCATAGTGTCTATATGAACCTAGCCCCACCTTTGAAATGCTGCAGTAAGCGCCGGCAACGCCCATGGACGGACTGGCGTTTCAACATGATCCTGTGTTTCAATCGGAACTTGTGTCTTCCCATTTGATATAGCACTTGCAAAGAGTAACACAATCCCACGAGGAACAAAACACGTTTAAACATACTTTGACATGTAGTATAAGTGCTGCGGACGATGTGACTAAACGAACGGCATAAAAATAGCTATATTCCCACACCCCTTCAACGGGCTGTTGTGGGACCCCAACAGGCATTTTCTGGACACTTGTCACCAGGAAAATACCAACACCAACACTTCACCGATCTTCCCGACGCGGTGCCCCAACACCGCGCTCCAACACCCCGCCAAACACTCACGTCCGGACTCGGCAGGTGCCTCGGGATGTCCCACGGAGCCCGGATTTAGGTCGCCGCCGCGCGCTGCCGTGCGCGCCGCGCGGCCCGCGCGCGGCGTGGACTCTTCGTCGTCGCGTGCGAGGTGCACGGAGGCCGGGTGTGGCTCAGAGGACTTGCAAGAAACACCTGGCGCAACGAAAGGGGAAAAGAAGTGTAGCATCTGATTCCTGAAAAACGCGCTTAAGTGAAGAATCCAGGTATCACTGTTTTAGTATGCATAGTAAAAAAATGCAAGTTATAATATGCCATACATGGAGTATCTGGGATCCCTCCTGAACCTTCAAAACCAAAACACACACACACACCACCTGATCCAGCGGATTCAGCACCGTTCTCCCGCTCGATGCCGCTCCACCGAACCCGTCGCATGGGTCACGTGAAACGCACGGCCTTCCAAAGGGCTAGCAGTGGAGCAGACCCTCAGAAGGGGGAAGGCAGACCGGACAGAACCGGTGTGTGGGACAGACGTGGGGGAGGGTTAGTATATGGGTTAGGCCAGGAAAAGCGGCAAAAGGATGTGAGGGCACATCGCGAAAAGGCATGGTGCCATACAATCCATACAGGGTGCCATACAGGGTGAGTTGTTGATGAGGAAACCGGTGTGGACCATCGACGGCCTGTCCGCGGTTCCAAACATGGTGTCAGTCAAATTGAACGCACAATCGAAAAAAAAAAAAAAAAAACGTGCACAGAACGACGTTGACTTTGACCTTCTCGCTAATGAGAATGGGAACATTGGACCCTTAGGGGTTCAATCACCTTCCTTTCTCCGACTGGGATGTTGACCCCCCGCCGGTGGGGGACGCATGGAGCGCCGAACCACGGACATGCAGGAAGCACAAAACAGCACTGCGCACTGCTGGATCCTCTGCAAAGAGGGCGGGGTGCGGACCAAAAACGAGAGAGTGCGGAGAGTGCGTGGCCCGAAAACACCCAAACGTCTGGACCTCAACCAATTCACAGGGCACCAACAGCGTTTCTCTGTGCTCGTTCGGATTGGATGTTGCGAAACGGCGGATTGGCTGTGCACACCGGTGCATGAGCTGGTCACTGGCACGATATCCTGGCATGTATATATGAACATGTGTCACGGATACATCTAACTCAACACCTAATTCAATCCGATCTGTTGATCATCGGCTCCATGCTCTTTCTTCGCCGCCTCAAGAAAAAAACACTGGAAGAAACCCTCTGGAACCACATGCCTTCACGGAAAAGGTGCGACTGGCCCCTCCTGGCGCAAGCATAATTAGTCTCCAATCACCTTCTCCGGTTCGGTGCTTGTGGATCCATAGGGAAGCATGACAAGTCATTTGCTCCGGGAAGGTTCATCTCTCTGCACTGCTCCCCTGAGCCCAGTCCTTTTTGATCAGGCCACGTCAAGTCCAGTTAGCCGAAATCTGTGGCACACTGCTACTACAGTTGGTTAGGGCTCAAACTGGAGCTGCCCAGATGGTTCTCAATCAATCATGGTTTGCTGATACGCACCTTCCAAGAGGTCTCCAATGAAAGAAAACCCATCTATGGCATCAGATGGCCTGATGACCCCTTGCATGGTCATGGTTACCTGATTGGCAACAGATCGAGAACACCCCGCCCAAAGATGGATCACCAAAATATAGACGAGTCTTATTCGACTAGTCGTCATGCACACTGACTACCTATATATAGAGTCTCAGTTCGTATACCTTAAAAAATAGGTACAGATCGTATACCCCGTTGTATTTTAGTTGGGGTCATATTCACCCTTTCACGTGGTACGTCACGTGGCTGGACATCCGACGTCCAGGGTGCTCCAACCTAACTCGCGCAGGACGCCGTCCAACGTCCGACGTCGAGGAGCTCCAGGTGCGGCGCAATGGAATCTCCATGCTTCGTGCCTTTCTCCTGGAAACCGAAGGAAGGCCGAAGAAGCCGGGAATGCTAGCGAACTGGGAACACCGGGCACACCAGTTTCAATGCCCCTACACGCGGTAGGACTGGCATATTTACATGGTTGAATTTCGGGGTCAAAAGGGCAACAAACATCTTCCGCATCTTCCAGTCGCAAGTACTGGTCGTGTCAATCGGTCGTATCTCGGCGTCCTCCACGAAAGGCATCTTGTCGGGGTTGCGTCGCTTGCTTTGGCGCACGTGCATGGCCAATTGTTCCGACCGTTTGAAGAGCGTCGACACGTACCTCTGCCCGGCGTGTTTCTTCAAGAGTCTGAGTAGAAGAGAGTTGGTTTATGGAGGCGGCAAGGACTGCTTTGGTGTTGTTGTGTATATGTGGAATTTATCTGGATGCTTTGAAGGAGATGAACACACACCAGAGCCGCAAGAGCACTGAATGCATGTGGAATCACTTGTGGAATCTATAGACTTATGATCCGTCTTCTGAAAGCAAGACGGAAGCCCCAAGGTTCAATGACTTCAAAGCAGGTGTCGACTAACCCCTTGGAATGAACGATGTCTATGAATATTCGATACAATTGGTTTTGGCTATTCACCACAGAGCACTATAGAACTGAATCTGCTGATCTCAGCGAACTTTTATGAGTGTTTCAATCGATCACCTCCAAAAATCTTGAATTGACGCACCAGCTGTTTCCTTACAGGGTCATCAAAACTGGACAGCCCCACACTAGAAACTAATTCTAGGGATTTGACCTCTGATTGGCAGGGGATTTGGTGGCAAGGGGTGTCTACCCGACCCAGAACCATACATCTGTTTGGACAAGAATGGAACGGTGGCACTGTTTGGGTGGTTGATAGTGATCACTCAGGTCTTGCGAACCTTCAAAAAGCACCAAACATATCAAAACAATTCAAAACATATCAAACCATGCCATTGCCCTAAATTAAGCCTACGGAAAGCACCAAACATATCGAAACGCATGCGACAGTGTTCCATTGGGCACGCGGCTGAACGTGCTGACTCAAGTGACGTGACGTGACTCAATGCCCTTCATGTGAAAGTGACTGAAACACGTGGGGCCCACCCTAGGTTTCAAAGACCATCAAAAGAACCATTGATCTGGTTCGTCATCTAAAATCCAAGCAAAAGAATTGGATCAATTAGACAATGCTTGGGCTCCCAGTCGGCATTCTTCTTGAGGGTTCCATCTTTGATCAGTAAAGACATCGCGCCGACATGGCTCCAAGTCACTGATACTTGTCGTCTCCGCTGCTGGTCTCCTCTACTTCCTCCGGACCTCAGCCAGCCCGGCCCGCCGAAATCCAGGCGGCGGACCCCAGCCTTGTGCAGCTTGCGGTCAGCACATGAAAACCATACAGTCATGGCACCCGGACCCCGGTCACGAGGGTAATTAAATTGACCATGTCGTGCATTCTGTTCATTTTGGGCGGTCGACCGGTCGGACCCCCGGTGCCACGGCCATCTATGACATATATATAGATGCATGGACACGAGCATTTTGGTTGGGTGGTTCCTTGAAATGCTGGGAGATCGCGCCGCCACCTCTGAAGAAATGTCTTCTGTGTTTCACGAACTACGTCCAGCCCCTGAAACATCAAACACGAACAGTACTAATTGACCACCCGCCATCATGGAGGTTCGCTCCGAACATGCCGCTATAAGTCATCTCTTGTGTTTTGGAAGAGGAATTATCAAAACACGTCTCCTGACTTCCTCTGCAGGAATTCCAATGAATCCCCAAACCATTCAAGCAACCCTAAACTATTCTTTCCTTGGAAAATGAAGCTTCACTGAAGTTTCCACCTCTTCAATGTTCGAGGGGACGAGCCTCCCACAAAAGGGTTGCACAATGCTGTACAGGTTATACTATCCACAGAAACTCCTGGGTAAGGACTATTTTCGGACCGCCAAACCTGCACCTCCATTCGCCTCCTTCGCTCGACCGAGTCCAGACCACCGGCGCCCGGTCCACAACCCTCCAACCCTCCACCGTGCATCAGCGAGCGACAGGTGAAGCCCAGGTATGGAGGGACACTCACGGCACGTTTCTTCGGCATGGCCTCAATGCGCTCACGTGGGAACCCGCTACGCGTGTCGATGACTCAGCTGTCATGGCTGTCTTGTTTGGTGCCAGTGAGTTTGGTCCGGTCTTCGGGGGGAGTGGGACTGGATTTGGGTCTTGTGGTGGTCGTTGGTCGTTCTCTTTGCAGAAATGGTTCCGATGTCTGTTGGATGTTCAGTGTGCCAGGATCGGCGCTGCCAAAGCCAGCGTTTTTCTAAGACCATTTCCAGGCGGTATCCAGACCGACGGATGTTGGTCGCCCTTGAAGGTTTAAGATCGGAGCAATCTGGAACAACGTCTACGAGTCACAACCAGCTTCTTCAGTCTGTGGCCAAACTTCAGGGGCACTGAAGACGGGGAACTCAATCTGGGGCACTTGGAAGAACCAGGAATCCATCTGTGTTCTTAATACTATACATCTATCATCACCTATCCGCACAGCTGGTAAAGTTTCCGCGGACCTGATCGGCTCAAGAAAAAAGAAAACACACCAGGACACGCGGTGGACACCTCGAGTCACCATGAGTCACCTCTAAAAGGCTTTTGGACACCCCAAACAGGGGCACAATTCCTTCTGAGTCAGCCCATCCCCTTTTGGTTTAAATCAACGACGCCGTTTTTTCGATCCTACCATCATGCAATCCGTTCTGTGAACGTGCGGGGCGTTCCGCTCCAGAAGAGGCACCTGCTCGTCCAAGTCAGAGAAGCTAATGAAGGTGTTCTTGTACTCAAAGCAGAATCCCTCCTGAGTTGGGCTTCTTCTTACTGACTTCAAACATGAAGCTTATTGAAGCTTCAGCAAACTGAAGCAGGTGGTCAACTTTCCTGGGTAGGTGGGAAACGGCTTGACCGACTATGCCAGGGTCTGCTTCTTCGCTTAAGGCCTTAGTGTTTGCCCTGGGTCTATCTTCTATAGGTGAAGGCACTTGACTGGTCATATGGCGTTTGTTGGATTCTGGATGATACTTGGTTGAAACCAAGTTGTTTCAGAATGCTCAGCTTGGTGACGCACAACCTATCATTCACCAAACCACTCAGTCATTTAGGCCATTCTTGGTGGCATGGAGCGTCTAGCTACGTAAGGTTTGAAGATCATTGTAATCACCTTGACAAATTGAATTAATTTTAGGAACAATGGAAAGTCACAAACTGGTCTCCTGCACCAGCATCTCCCACTGCACGCAGCCAGTGGGAGTTGGGGAGGTCTGTGAAACTGTACTTGCCGGTTACTGAACACGCAGGTTTTGATCAGCTATATAAGATGTCCGATCTCTTTCTCTTAGATCCAACAAGTGAGTCTAGGCTCTGTGGGGATGGTCTGAGGGATCGTAGAAAAATATTGAAAAACACATCCATACATGTTCAGTGCATGGGTCCATGAAACTAGATAAGATTCATATGCTTTGTGGAGCTTCCTAACTTCCTCTTGGAGAAGGCTTGCGTGGAAAGGAGTCATGCCCAGTAGATTCTGCGTGCGGAAGTGGTGACCATCCGTGAACGAACGAACGATGATCTGACGTGACCACCAACCCAAGTTCTGCCGGAGTTTCAGCCACCGGCAGACCCCCAAATAGATAGAAGGTCGTAGATCCCCACTAAAAGTGTATTGGAAACCGTGCCACTGTAAATTTTGGGACCACTATAACCACCAGCCGACCCAAGGTTCCCCGATGTCATGAACCTATCAAGTCTATCAATGTGCCAAGCGGCAGTCATGCGGTGACGGGTTTGGTTGGGCGGCGGGTGGCAACTTCGCTAGACAGGCGAAAAACTTCAAATTCTGCGGACCAGGCCGGCTGGGTGCTGTGATGTTGCTCAAAACAGGATACGTTGGTTGACCTAGCTGGAAGGTCAAAATACCTGGTGTGGGAGCTCCAGGTTTTGACCCGTCCCCATGTGATCTGCGTTCGTCTCACAGCTTTGGGTGAAAGATTGGTCTGCATCGCAGGACCTCTTTCCTCCAAAGGTCTGCGCACTGGCAGTCACTGGTGGTTGGTGGTCAAAACCCTGGTTTGCTTCACAAATTTTTGAGACAGCTCTCAAATTGTTCCAAGTCAGTCATGATATAAAGAGGAGCTGTGGTTGATCTCAAAAAAATTTTTCAACCATGGACCCGGAGGCCTTCTGGCATCCAAACAGTTCGGCTGATCCACAAAATCACTGGAATACTAATCCCATTTAACCCAAAGCACAACAAGTCTTTTCTTTCGCTATTGCCGAAGGTGGCTCACCCGTGACAAGTTCTTTCAAATATTCATGTAAATACATGCAGGTACAACAAGTCCCCCTCACACGCGAAGCGAATAAGTTCTCATCATTTCACTTCCGTTCATGCAAACTGCCACTTCCAGAGCTGAGCTGGTGATGTGAACTAGGGCCAGGTCACTCTCCAAACTGGTCCGTCAAACTGTTTAGTTGGCCACTGAAATCATCATGGGGTTCCCGTTGGATGGAAGTTACGGCCCCAAAGACTTGGATGATCATGCTCAATCCGAAGACCAGTCCCAAGGTGGTTTTCACTCACTCACTCCACCTACTTCCACGATGATTTCGGGAGAGTTCCATGTCTGTGTCTATATAATGGGTGCACGCAACACCCACTCACTTCGTCTTCGCTAAAGTTAAATTCCATCCCAGTGCTGAAGTTGTTTGGAGGAGCACATCTCTCAAACATGTTTTACCTTCATACATGGCTGCCCCGCCGGAACGGAAGATGTGGGTCATTCTACGAGCCCAGTCGCGGACATTGATCCACATTCCGCATATGGTACCTCGTCCTCTAGTTCAAACTCAGCAGCCCGTGCAAAGTTATCCATCAACCAGTCAAAGGCCCCCTGTAACCCATACCTCTTCTCCCAGCCGATTTAAACTCAGGTTTGTAAACGTCAAAAAAACTTTTCCTGAAATTCAAGTAGATATATGATCTGATCCCTGGGTTATAGTATATGATAGTTAATGTTGACCTATGTTTTGAAAGGGATCCGAGACAAAGTTAGCACAGTTCCGCCCTAAAATTAATAAACGCCACCACCACTGAATACAATTAGCACAAATCAAAAAATGCAAAGACTTCACTTCGAGTGATCCCCACCATGACGTTTCAATCTGACACATGTTCTGGCATGTGTTGAAAAATTTTATCGGCATTTGTCTGCCACATTTTGCTGCTTGTCAGATGTGCCTGACATTCTTGGAAGACAGCGGCGTGCCGCCTGTCAGTGTCTGGTCCGGTAAAGGTGTACAGGACACACGACAGAAACATGTTATTTGACATATGTTGTGACTTTCCATCCGGTATATAATCTAAAATTCTACTCTCCATATTGTCTGGCATGTTTGTAATTGCGTGTGTTTGTGGTTATGAGTGCTGTGGTTGTGTGCGGTGGATGTGTCTTTGTGGTTTCTTTCTGTGGATGTGTCTTTGTTTGTGGACATGGAATATATGGCTGAAAAACGTTTGAGTGAGCTGTGACCAGTGGACTCATTTGCGCTCCGTGGCCGGAGTGTGCTGGCTCACCGCATGAGTTGAGGTAGCTCATGTCTGTAACCGACGCAAAAAATATATTGTTCATATCCTCACCTTCCGTGTTGCGCGTTTTTTGCCACAACAACACTGCCTTACACAGACGCGCGCTCCGCCAGCGGAGCGCGCTCTTGTGTGCAATTTCTATGAGATTGTTGACCGGGGTGCACATGTTTGTTTGGTCATGTTTGCGCCGACGAGTGCATGTGGTCGTGTGTTGTGGTTGTGTGCTGTTGCTGCCCGTTGTGGGTGTGTCTTTGTGGTTGTGTGCTGTGGATGTGCCTTTCTGGCTGTGTGTTTGCGATTGTGTCTTTGTAGTAGTGCTTGTGGTTATGTGTTTGTGGTTGTCTGTTGTGGTTGTGCGCCGTAGTTATGCGTTGTGGTTGTGCGCTGTGCAATTGTCTTTGTGGCTGCGTGTTTGCGATTGTCTTTGCGCTTGTGTGTTGTGGTTGTGTGCTGTGGTTGTGCAAAAGTTCTAAATCATTTCCACCTCATCTTAAACTCAATTCTAATTCATTTCCAAATCAATTCAAATGAATTCAGTTCCACTTGAATTCTAATTCAATTCAAAACAGTTCCAATTCAATTCTAGTTCAACTCTACTTCATGTCTAATTAACTTCCAATTCAGTTCGAATTCAATTCTAATTCAATCCTAGTTCAATTCCAAATCAAGGCAAGTTCAACTATATTTCAATTCAAATTCAATTCCAACTCAATTTTAATTCAGTTGCAATCATCCAAGGCACCGAGAGACACGAAGCGCCGGAGCGCATCCAAGGCACAGAGAGACAAAAGGCGCGAAGCGACCGAGCGGAGCGACCGACCAACGACCGAGAGAACCAGTGAAGCGAAGACCAAGAAAAGAATAAAGAGGGAGGGACGCGAACGAGCGACCCCGAAACGCGACCGGGCGACCCGCCCACCAAGCCAAGGCACGCGCAGGCGCACACGGCATCCGAGCGAGACGATGCGAAAGCGGTGCGACGATCTGGTCGTTTGAGGGCTATAAAAACATACTCATCCAAAAAAAGTGTTCGCTGAATTGTGCTAAGTTAAATCAGCTCATTGCTTTGTTAACAGATTTCTTTATTGAATTCCATCTTCAATTTCTTGCACCTTAATTTGATCACTTGAGTTCACCACAGCTCCAAACCTTCTGACAACAATTCATTTCCTTTCAAAAAGACTAAATAAAAACCGTTGAAAGAATCAAAAGCACTCTGGAAAGGGTTCTCACCGGAAGCAATTCCAAGTAAATAATTCCAACTCATTTCCAAATAAAAAATAATTCAATTCCAATTCATATTCGAGTTCTAATCAAGTGTATTTGAAATCTCATTCAATTCTAATTCAATTTCAAATTCCGCCCTAATTCAATTCCAATTCAGTTCTATTTCAAGTCAAGTTCAAGCCTAACTCAACTCCAACTCAATTCTATCTTAATTCAAGTTCAGTTCAATTTCAATTTTTTCACTCAATCCCAGTTCAATTATAGTGCAATTCAATTCAATTCAATTTCAACTCGAACTCAATTCCAATTCAATTCGCTTTGAGTTCCAAGGCAATTCTAATTCAATTGCAATTCAATTCTAGCTCAAGTCTATTTTTAAATTCAACTCCAATGAAATTCTACATCAGTTCTCATTCCTAATCCAATTCTAATTCAAAACTAATTAAATCCAAATTTAATTCTAACTCAGTCCTACTTCAATTCTCATTCAAGTCAAGTTAATAATATAAACAAATTCCAATGAAAAAATGCCCTACTTCTTCCAATTGAAATCCAAGTCAAGTTTAATTCAGTTCAACGTCAATTGTAACTCAATTCCAATTCAATTCCACTACAGCTCCATTTCATTTCCAATCCAGTTTTGATTCAGTTCACGTTCGATTCTAGTTCATGCAATTCCAATGCAATTCCGACTCAATATTCTAGTTCATTTCAAATTTACTTCTAACTCAGTTCTAATTCACTTCTTTTCTAACTCAATTCCAAGTCAATGTTAAATGCCAATGAAATTCTAACTCGTTTCAAGTTCAATTCCAATTCATTCCTGAGTCAAAAAATATTCAAATCAAATTCAATTCACCATTGAAGCAAAGACCAAGACAAGGAAAAAAGGGAGCGACGCGAACGAGCGACCTCGAAACGCGGCCGGCCAGCCCAGCCACCCAAGGCACACGCAGGCGCAGGCACTTGTGTGAGATGCAGCGGAGCGACAAAGACGAGGGAGAGAAACGACGGAGCGAAGAACGAGGCGAAGCGAAGCGACCGCGCGGAGCGACCGACCAACGACCGAGAGAACCGGTGAAGCGAAGACCAAGAAAAGAATAAAGAGGGAGCGATGCGAACGAGCGACCCCGAAACGCGACCGGGCAACCCGCCCACCAAGCCAAGGCAGGCGTAGGCGTAGGCACCTGAGCGAGACGAAGCGAAAACGAAGCGACGATCTCATTCTGTCTTTGTGGGTCTGTGTTGTGATCGTGTCTCCATAGTGTTTGTGGTTATGTGTTTGTAGTTGTGTGCTGTGGCTGCGCAACAATTCTAATTCAATTCGAGTTCATTTCAACCTCAACTCTAATTCAAGTCTAAATGCAAATCGAATTCTATTCCAGTGAGATTCCAAGTCATTTCTAATTCAACTCAAGTTCAGTTCCAATTCAATTCTAGTTCAACTCTACTTCATTTCTAATTAATTTCCAATTCAATTCTAATTCAATCCTAGTTCAATCAATTCAAATTCAATGCAATTTCCACTATTATATTTCAATTCAAATTCAATTCAAACTCAATTCTACCTGGAGGTTCATCCTCCGAAGGAAAACTAGTGATTTCCGTTTTCAAGTAGATTTAGTGATTTTCATCGTTTTGGTGAAAAAGTCAACAACCCAGAACCACACAAAATCTCTGAAAAGATCCCACCAGGTTGCAACACACATCACACAAACACTACAGCTGCGCGAGCTCTATTTCCACTTCTCAGCGCTTCTTGGCTGCATGATTTAGTGATTTCTATGAGTTTTAGGTTGGGCTGGATTTTCCTGCAAGAAGTCAGCGATATAAGAGAAAAGCAGGCAAGCTCCTAAGTCCGCGAAGAATTTCCTGGAGATTGAGCCGACCAACGACCGAGAAAATCAGTGAAGCGAAGACCAAGAAAAGAATAAAGAGGGAGCGACGCGGATGAGCGACCCCGAAACGCGACCGGGCAACCCGCCCACCAAGCCAAGGCAGGCGTAGGCGTAGGCACCTGAGCAAG